GATATAACATTAAATAAATATATAATATTATATATAAAATTTTAAATAAAATAATTAATTATATAATAATATATTAAAATTATAAATTTACAATATCACATAATATTATTTGACTAAATTATTTTTTGTAAAATTTTTAAATTAGGGAGTAGAAGGGTACCAAAACTTATGCAAGGGAGAAAGCATAGCAGTCTCGGAAACTAAAACAAGAACGAATAGTAGTAACTAGGACCTTGATCTTCTAAACTCGTAGTAATGAAATGCCTCAACAGGCTTTGCAGTTCGCACTCAAGTTGTTATAGTAGTCACTACAGGTTCGTAGCTTTAACTTTTGATATTGATGGAGCTTGTTAGACCAAGACCTTGATTTCTAGCATTTGGAAAAACATGCATTGAGTATCTGTTGGATAACATTTTAGACAACAATGTCAAATATTACATCAAATCCTCTCATTAGTGGCCCGAGTGACATCAATTGTAACCTGGAAAGAAATCCATGGGAAATGCCGTGGTCAAGGTTTTAGAGAAAGGCGTGTGTTTAAGGAGGGGGGTGGGGGGATTTATGTGTTGTCTTAGCTTTACCAATAAATATGGTAGGTGATGTGTCGTATCAAACCTCAAGTTGTTGTGCTTTTTTTTGCTGCCCCCACCCCAGTCCACATCTGTGATCAAAGTTCTTATCCAAGACATGGACTAGTCCAAGTCTCTGCCCCATCCCTTACTCTTAGCTCATCAAAACTGTGACACAGTACTGTATCAGATGGGATTGATTCTAATTTAACTTATCAGTGTGACGCATTTCTGAGAAAGAAAATAGTTTGAGCTGATGGATGACAGAATTTACATATGTTTATAAAATTAATCAAGTTAAAATTTACAGATGTTTATAAAATTAATCAAGTTAAAAGTCTCACCAACCGGGTCCAAGGTACAATGGTGGATCCCAAGTCTAAGGGTTTGAGTGAAGTAAAGGTCAGAGTTTTGAATTTTGTTATCGTCGTGAATTCTATCAATTTGTGATTTAATAACCGCGTGCCTCACATGAGGGATGAAATATTCACCATTTTAAAAAATTTCAGTTGCTAATAAA